CTCTCCCCCTTTCCTTCTGCCCCTCCTTCTGCCTCTCTCCCTTAAAAAAAAAAAAGCCCCATTTAATTTCAAGAAAGGCTCTCTCCAGGTGAACAAAAGTGGGAGGCACTGCAAGAGTCATTGATAAAGTTGGTTTGGGATAAAAGATCTTTTGCTTCTTGAGCTGGTGTTCAGGATAGTTCACCCCAGCCTCTCGTGAGGATCCCTTCTTGGTGCTTTCCAACAAAATTGCTCTCGCTAAAGTTATCAGTAGCCTCCTGATGGCTAAAATCAATGGCCTATCAGCAGCTGATAGAATTGACCAAAACTTTGTTCTGTAAAACTTTCTTCTCTCCTTATTTCCATGTGACTATTCTCTAAAGCATTTTCTCCTTCTTGTCCTATTATTCCTCTGTAGTTTTCTTAACAGAATTCCGACTCTCATCGTAAGCAAAATCCCTGAACGTTAGTGTCCTTCTGGGTTGTGTTGTTTTGGGCCCTTTTCTTTTATCCCTCAACTACCACATTCGCAGCCTTCTACCATACGCAAGTCCTAATAACTCACATGTCTGTATCTTTGGACCCATATTTCTAACTGTCTACTAGATATCTTTGCCTGGATGCCCTGCAGACATCTCAAACTTAAAATGTCCAAAGCTTATCTCCCCCTCAAACTCCTACAAAACTTACTCCTCCTCCTTTAGTCCCTATCTCAGGGAGTGGTACCACTATCCACCCAGGAACCCAAGCCAGAAACCTGGGTGTCATCCTCAACTCCTACTTCTCCACATTTAATGGACCACTAAGTTTTTAGTTCTATGTTAAAAATGTTTCTGCAATCCAACCTCTCCTCTCTAGCCCCCCAACATATAAGTTCTGATCATTACTGTTATCAATAATAACATCTTAGCAAGTCTCCCCTACTGTGAGGCTCTGTCATTTCCAATTCTTTCTTTAGACTAGAGACCAGTGGACTTAAAGATTTCACTGTTCAGAAAGGTTTAAAAAATGGTTTTGATAATTGACAAAGTATGGTTTTTAAAAAAAAATTTTGTCAGGTCACAAAACCCAACATCATCTACTCTATCACTTCATAATAATTTTAAATGACTACTGGACTTCAAAAAATAGAAAGTACCACACTTTGATAGAAAACAGTTCTTTAAATATATTTGACTTTTTAAATAAAAGTGTACTAGATAAGAACCACTGCTCTAGAATTTAAACTGCCATCACAGTAATCTGTAGCTAGCTTGAAAATCTCTGTAATATATAAACATTTAAATTAACCCTTATAATCTACATGCATATCCTTTTACTGGCTTTTAATGGCTACATAGTATTCATTGTGTTGACATGTTACTGGCATGTCTATTAGCCTTCTATTTTTGGCATTTTTAAAAATAATAAACTTTAAACATCCCTGTCACATATCATCTCTAGGCCTTCTATAATAAAAGCCATCCTCTTTAGGGTAACATAAGAAGCCCTTTATAATCTGGCCTCAATTTACTCCTCAGAAAGCACTTACTCTAAACATGTCATATCCTCTCTTGCCTTTATGCCAGTGGCTCTCAACTGGGACTAATTCCCTGCCCCCTTCTACAAGGGACATCTGGCAATGTCTATATTACTATCTGAATTTTGTTATGTCCAAAATTCACACATTGAAGCCCTAACCCCTATGTGATTGTGTACGGAGATTATATATATATACACACACACATATATATGGGCATATATACAGCATATTCATGTATATGCCATACCATCTATACATTTTTAAGAGTTACATAGCATTTTTTAAAAAAGATTTTATTTATTTATTTGAGAAAGAGAGAGCACACAGTGGGGAGGAGCAGAGGGAGAGGGACACGGAGACTCCCTACTGGGTGGGGAGCCCAACCCGGGGCTCAATACTAGGACCACAGCATCAGACCTGAGCCAAAGGCAGATGCTTAACTGACTAGGCCACTCAGGCACCCCATTTCTAAACCATAAAGATATGAAAAAAATATCCTTACTCTTAACATTCAGCAATCAAGGGCACCAGGGTGGCTCAGGGGGTTAAGCCTCTGCCTTTGGCTCAAGTCATGATCACAGGGTCCTGGGATATCCCATGGTCCTGGGGTAGAGCCCCACATTGGGGCTCTCTGCTCAGCAGGGAGCCTGCTTCCCCCTCCCTCTCTGCCTGCCTCTTTGCCTACTTGTGATATCTCTCTCTCTCTGTCAAATAAATAAAATCTTAAAAAAAAAAAAGCAATCAAGTTTTCCCAATTTTTTCTTAACACATTTCTTGCTAACTCATTGCCAAAGGTCCATAATACATACGTGTACCTTAGTATATCTAGGCCATCAAATGATCCACACGAATGTAAAATTTTCAAGAGCATGGCTTACTAACAGTAATGTTAACTAACACTTACCACTATTGTGTAAGATAGTGTGCTATCATAGGTGCTTTCTCTCCATATTGAAATTTAACTTCCATATCCTTTGTGGTACTATTATTATACTCATTTTAGAAATAAGGAAAGTTACTAACAGTAATGTTAGTTAACACAAAGGAAACAGAAAATGGGAGAAATCACATGACTTGTCCAAAGTCATACCACTAGCAAGTACTTCAAAATAAAAAATAAGGCTGGGGCTAAAAATGTTCGTTTTTAGGATCCAGGTTTTCTCAGCAAAAAATTAAAATTTTGGACAATATAATAACTGTCATATTATATCAGGGCACCTGATGGCTTAATCAGTAGAGCATGTGACTCTTGATCTTGGGATTGTGAGTTCAAGCTCCACATTGGGTATAGAGATTACTTAAAAATAAAATATTAAAAAAATGTTTTATTATAATTCATTGACTTTATAATTGGAAAAATACTTCCCTAAGGAAAGTAATGTTTTTGTCTGCTAATCTAGCTAACCATCGGAGACAAAAATTACTTTATGTAGTTTTCTGGAAAACATATAGGCTATGCTGGTATTTACATTTTTTTTACTTAGATTCTTAGTTCTCTTAGACTCTTTGGTTTTCAACATTTTTCATTCCTTTGCCCTATTGAATTTCCTCTTGTAGAGGAAACCAAATGAGGAAAAACGTGTCATTTTAAGTACTTAAGTTACCTCAAACACTGAAGTGTCCTGGAAAATAATCATCCAGTAAATATCCATTACCATACTGTTAAGATATGCACTGTTTTTATACTAAAAGTTTTATTTTCTTGCCTCTTTTTCAAGAAAGGGGAAGTAGAGTGCAATCCCTTTGCAACAAAGAAACTATGTTTTATCATTGCATTTTAGCATTTTTCTTTTACTGAAAAAATATTATTTTGACATTGATAATTCTGTAGATCAACCTACATCTCCAGCATCCCTTTGTGAAAATTCATTTACCAATGTTACTGTTCTGTTTCTGTTCTCCAGGACCGTGTGTCTCCTGGACAGGGTCTGAGATAGTAGCCATAGTCCAAGTGTTCCCAGAATTTAGAGAGGAACTGCGAAGGCTTACAACAAGCTTTGAAGGCATTTTTGATGTGGGATATTTTACTGTTAAGGATGTTCAAAAGCTTCTGGCAGTAACTTTGCACCTGGAAAGGGTGAGAGCTTTGATTTCTCCTGAGCTTGAGGAGCCACATTCTTGACCCTAGTCTGAAGATCTTTCAGACTCTTAAAATCTCTCAGCTTTGTGATGGACTAGCTCAGAATAGGAAATAATAAATGACTTAAGGAAAGTATTACCACCTTATGTTATTCATATTTATTTACATGTCTGTCTCATTGAATCTGAAGTTTCTTGAAGGTTCAGAGTTGTGCCATTCACTTTTTAATCATCCATCAAGAAAAATTACTTCGAGTCTACAATCAATCACTGATTTGTAAAATCAATTTACGGATTTGAAATTTCAATTGGGAAGGCAGAATACCGAATTATTAAACTTTTGGTGCCTGATGACCTGGGCTTAGATTCTGCTATTCACTTACTGTATGATCTGATGCAAGTTCACAAAACTTTCTAATTTCCTCAACTCGAAAGTGGATAAAATGAAATAAAGGACTTGGAGCGTTTAAAGTTCTATTTATATAATGACTATTTCCTGAGCTCAGCCTAAGCTGTAGGGTGCTGGTAATAGAGTACAAAATACGCAGGGTTCCTGTTCTTACGGAGCTCAGGTAGCTGGGGAGACAGACATAAAACAATTTATCGAACAGATTATATTACAAATCGCCATGAAAAAAGATTAAAACTTCAACAAGAGGTCGGAAAAGGAGATTTAGATTGCTGAGTAAGGAGTCTCAGAGCGAGTGGCATTTAAGCGGATATTTGAAGGATGAGGAGATTCACTTCCTCACCTCCTTCTCTTTCCTCAGCTCTCTTGAATCCAGCTTCCATCTTTCTACCTAAGCAGTTCTTGCTAAAGTTATCACTGGCCTCCATGTTACTATATACAACGGACCTTTTCCAGTCCTCTTGACCTTCCAGCAGCACTCTGCAGTTAATCACTCCCTCCGTCTTCAGACGCGGTCTTCCCTTGCCTTCTCTAATAATAAACCCGTCCTGACTGCCTCTTCAATATCTCCTGCAGGTTTATCTCAAGTGCCTGGACAGCCTCGCCGTGAACTGTAATTATGAAAAACAACGCAATCCTTTTGAGTCATAAAAAAGGTGTACAAGCAAACACATATTTGGGGGGCTTCTCTTCGCTTCCGGTACGCTTCATATTACCGCGAATATAAAACTTTTCCGTTCCAGCAGACACGCCCTTCCCTCTTGCGCGCTGGACCTGGCCACAGGGCAAGAACAGGTATTCAACTTGACCCAACGCCGACACATTTGCCCGGGAAACGCCCAAGGCGCGGGACAAAAAAGGGCTTTCGGTCCAGCTCTGGCAGCGCTTCAGAAACTACACCCCCGAGCGACTCTTCAAAGTGTAGTCTGGCGCTCTTTCGCTCGCGAGCGGCGCAGATGAGTCCTCCGACATCCCAGCATTCCCTGCTCCCCAACCATCGAGAGCAGCTTCCGGCGTCGCTGGTGTGGGTGGGTGAAGAAGGAGCGGGCCCTCGCCGCTCTGTCTCACTCTCTCGCGCGCTCTCTCGGGCAACATGGCGGGCGTGGAGGAGGCAGCGTCCTCCGGGAGCCACCTGAATGGCGACTTGGATCCAGACGACAGAGAAGAAGGAGCTGCCTCTACAGCTGAGGAAGCAGCCAAGAAAAAAAGACGGAAGAAGAAGAAGAGTAAAGGGGCTGCCACAGGTAAAGGGAGTTTTATGTGTTCCCAGTCGCCGCCGGGGATGGTCGAACGGCTCGGCCCAGGCCCGGCGGGGGTGACAGAAACTGGGGACTCGAACACTGCCCGGGACTGATTCCCAGGACAGAGCGTGTGTCAAAACCAGGTTACAGATTTCTAGTGTGGGGAAAAGGCAGCTTCTCTTTCTGTGGAACTAGGGAGCTGTTGGGGTGGGGTGAATAGGGTGCCTCAGCTGGTCGTGAGGTAGTTCTGGGGTTGCTGGGCCTGAGCCCTTAGACGTGCCAGAACTCAGCTCCCACACAGATCGTGCAGCGGACTCGAAGCTGCGCACAGGGCTCAGTCCTGTCACCCTTCTGGCGGTTTGCCACACTGTCGCCTCTTTGCTGAAGGTATCTGGAACATACTTTTAAGGATGGGGGTGGAGTGGGCAAATCTCAGTGCGCTGGCCGCACCTCCCCCTACCTCCCGGGTTTACAGAGGGATTTTTGTTGCCGGCTGCACTTTTTGAGGTGTGTGTATATGTGTGTATGCCCACGCGGTCATGTCACCGAGTAGTAATTGCAGAATATGTGGTAGTGCTGCGAATTTTCACCTGCCTAAACCATAGCATCGTCAAGCTTCAGGGCTTTCAGGCCTGAATTGTGTTGCCATTTGCAGGTAGTTCGGATAGAATATTCTATAGATTGGAATGGAACTTCTCTAAATCCACTGGATTACACTTAGATTACATTATGCGTTAGGAACTTAAATGTTTTATTTTAGGAAGTCAGTGTTTTTTAGTTGTACGTGGTCCTTCGTTTTAGGAAGACAATGTTTGTGCCTGTTTTTAAAATCAGCCACACGAGGATTGAGAGACAAATGGAGAGGCCATAAGTGATGAAGATAAAGATGAGAGAGGTTGGAAAGGGTTAATATGTATCTTTCTGAAATTCTTATTAAATGGAAGTTGAAAAGGGAAAGTTGTGGGTGCTGGGACCCTTCCAGAGAAAATTTAATCCCGGACATAGTCTGGTGGCTGTTCCTGGCTTTCAGATGAAATCCGAACTCCAGTTTTTCCATGCAGATGCCCCTAATATTTAACAATTTTATCTCTCAACATGAATCCTCTGCAGTAGCCAGAATATCACTTCAGTATGTGCTAACTCGTAATACTATTTCGTTCTACACACATCTATTGCTACTACAGCTAGATTGTATTCACTTGGTGAAGGGGGAGGCTGGTCTTGTGCTTAGCTATTCAAGAATTTTGTTTTTTAGCAATGGAATTATCTTTTCGATTTATTTTGATTTTACCTAGCCTAGCTTGATGACTTACTTCTCATGAAAACTTGAAGTTCCCAGTGTTCTGTAGAAATCCTCCTCTAAGACCTTCAGCATTTATTACCTATCTCAAGTACCTGTTTTTTAATAAAGTGTTTGTTGTAGTAGTCTAATTGTTAAATACTTTTAACAATTGGATAGGGACCAACGCACGTTTTTGTTTATCCTTTAGTTGCTAGCACAGAGAAAGTGTAATAGATATTTTGTTGAATGGACAAAGCTACTTAGATGTGGGGGGTTTTTGTCACTAAGTGAATTCTGTAATGTTCACAATAATGTTTCTGTGTTTGTTTCCCAAATACTTATCAGGCAGGAAAGGACTTGTGTGTTCTCCAGGATCCTTAGAACATATTCTGATTGGAAACTATCTTTTTTAGATTTGATTTATGTTATATTTGATCAGCAGGGCAACAGGAACCTGATAAAGAATCAGGAGCCTCAGTTGATGAGGTAGCAAGACAATTGGAAAGACAAGCATTGGAAGAGAAAGAAAGAGATGATGACGATGAAGGTAAATGGTAAATTTGATATTTGTGGTTGGAAAAGCAAGAAGATATGACATTCTTTAAACAAAATGTATTTGTCCATATGGTTTATGGTTCTCTGATGTTTTAATTAATTAACATTAAAGCCTCAATGTCACAGATAAAAAGGGAAAGGTATTAACAATTCTTAAAAAGTTGGATAAGTTGAATGACTGCTCCAACACAGATCTCAACTTTTTAAAAATGTACTTGGCAAAATGCCAAGTAGGGGGTATTAAGATGATAATGAAGGACTGCTGGGGGACACGGGTGGCTCAGTTAGTTAAGTGTCTGCCTTTGGCGAGGATCGTGATCCTAGGGTCCTGTGATCTAGCCCCATGTCCATCTGCTCCCTGCTCAGCGGGGAGCCTGCTTCTCCTGCTCCTTGTGCCGCCTCCCCTACTTGTGCTCTCTCACTTTCGCTCTCTCTCAAATAAAGAAAGAAATCTTTTAAAAAAAGAAGAAGAAGAAATTGAAGGACTGTTTAACATTTATTGAACAACTAATATGTACAGGGCACTGTCCTAGGATACTTTCACATGTGTTCTCATTTTACTTTTCAAAACCTAGCAAAGTAGGTACTCTTCTCAGGAAGTGATGGTTATTATGTCATTTATCCAGTGTGACACAACTGCTATGTGTAGAGTGGAGTCAAGGTTTTGAACCTAGAACCTGATTTCAAGTCTGTTCCTTTCACTCTGTATGAAAGCCCCCCTCACTTTATTCTCAAGGAGTATATTGGCGTCCTTCTGAACTCTATTATAAATTCCCTGACCCCTAGCCGCTTATGGTATGTTGGTCCTGTAAGATTTCTTAAAGATAGTAATTCTTGAAATTCTAGAAATTGATGCTATCAGTAAGACAGTGGAGGTAATATTTGCTAGTTATTCTACAGCCTCTTTAGGTAGAGGGAGAAATGGAGCTTTCCCATACTCAATTATCTACTGTTGTGACCTACTGCTCTTCCTTAAGCATTGTCAACTTGGGCTCGTGTCTTCCAAGCCTTAGCAGAAAATACCTGCTGTACTTTGTCATGTTAGGATAATGCAGAGTAGATATTTCTCCTTCAGAAACATAAGCTCTCTGCTTTCATGGAGCTTAGAGTCAAAATTTTGGTGGAAAAGGTGCCAAGGTTCAAGAGAATAGTTAGCTTTTCCTTAAGCAAACCCTTTGTCCATTTTACCTTGGTTTGTGTTTCAATTTATGAACATATTTTGAGCTCTTAGCAGGAAAGGGGCTTGTAATTTCAAGGTTATAAAATAGATTGCTATAGACCTACAGTGTAGAGTATCACAGTATTAATCTTGAAGAGCATTCCTTGTTCCATTGCTTTTCTACAAAGTTGTACGAATCTTTTGACATTGAAGGAGAAACTTTTGTCAGATTGGAAATCGTTTTAACGTTGTTTTAAAGATGATTTTAGAACTATTGTTTTTCTCCCGTAGAGTTACTTTCCTAATTCGCTTCAAAAATCAGTATCAGTCAGTACTACTAATCTGTTGCGAGAGTTCTTTAAGAAGATGGAAAGTTAGTATTTCAGAATCTTTGTTCTAAAACAAAACAAAGAGGGGCTCGGTGGAATTGCAGGCTGAATGCTGAACAAAGGCTCTTTGGAAGGAATGGGACTTGTATAATGCCAAACAGAAGAGACCACTTTGGGCCAGGACAATGCTGAGAATGGATTCAAAGTGTATTGAATAGTGCATACTGGCCATATAAGATGATTTGTTGAGGGAGCCTTGGAGTATTTTTAAAAGAAAGTTATAGGGGTGCCTGGCTGGCTCAGTTGGTAGAGCATATGACTCTTGATCTCAGGGTCAGGAGTTCATTCCCCACATTGGGCATAAAGTTTACTTTAAAAATAATGTTTAAAAAAAGAGAAGAATGTTATAAAAAATAATTTAGTCCTCATACATATGCAGTGTTGTTAGAAAAAAAGGAAACATCCAGGAAAGGCTTGGAGATCATTTTGGAGGGCACTTAACAGCCCAGGCATGTGGTAATCATTATTTAAATTGGTGGGAAGGCAGCTGGGTGACTCAGTTGGTTAAGCTTCCAACTCATGATTTCAGCTCAGGTCATGATTTCAGTGTCCTGAGATTGAGCCCCATTTCAGGCTTTGCCTCTCCCTCCCCCGACTCTTGCACACGCCTGCATGCGCTCTCTCTCTCTCTCTCTAGTAAATAACTATCTTTAAATGGGTGGGCATAAATGAGAATGGAAGGGAAGAGTTCAGTGGAATAGTGGTTGTGGAAGCAGAATTCAGAGGACTTTTAAAAGAATTTGAATCAGGGGCGCCTGGGTGGCTCAGTGGGTTAAAGCCGCTGCCTTCTGCTCAGGTCATGATCCCAGGGTCCTGGGATCAAGTCTTTGTTGGGCTCTCTGCTCAGCAGGGAGCCTGCTTCCCCCTCTCTCTTTCTGCCTCCCTCTCTGCCTACTTGTGATCTCTGTCTTTCAAATAAAAAAAATCTTAAAAAAAATAAAAAGACTTTAAATCAGGGGAGAAGGAAGGAGAGGCATAGATGGACTCTAGAGGTTTGAATTGGTGACAGAATATTGGTGCTGTTCACTGAAATTGTGAAGTAGGGAGAGTGGGTTAAGAGATTGACTGGGGGGGTATAGGCAAAAAAGAAAGTATTGAGTTAATTTTAGATGTGTTTAATTTGAAACTGGAGTATTGGTATGAAAAGTTAATCCTGTGGGCATTTGGCAATGTGCTAGAAGTAATTCAGTGAAGTTTTAAGTTAGATTTATTAAGGTACATATATTGCCCAGGACTAAATTCACTATTTTCAAAAAATAGACTTTATGTTTTACAACAGTTTTACTTAGGTTCTCAGCAATATTAAGCAGAAGGTGCAGAGATTTCCCATATACTCCCTACCACCATACGTGCAAAGCCTCTCCCATTTTCAACATCCCCCACTGGAGTGGTGCATTTGTGACAATGGATGAACGTACATTTGACACATCATCATTCTGCCAAGTCCATCGTTTATATAGATTTACTCGTGATACTGTATATTCTATATATTCACCCTTTATAAGTCTATAGTTTGATAAGTTTTTACAAACATGCATTTGTGTAACCACAACCAAGATACAGACCATTTTCATTTAACATTTCCATCTCCACAAAAAAGTTCCCTTTTACCCTTTTGTAGTCCATTCTCTTGCTCCACCCCCTGGTCCCTCACAACCATTGATAACATTTTCTGTTATGTAGTTTTTTCTACAATGTCCTATAAATGGAATTATTATAGCGTGCAGCTTTTTTTGGTTGTTTGCCTTAGCGTGATACTTTTGAGAGTCCTCCAATTGCATATGCATCAGTAATAATTCATTACATTTTATTGCAAGTAGTATTCCAGATTTGTTTATCCACTTACTGGTTGATGGATATTCAGGTTGTTTCTGGTTTTTGTGTTATGAATAAAGACAACGTTTGCATACAAGTCTTTGTGTGGACATAGGTTTTCATTTCTCCTGGGTGGGTACCTAGGAGTAGGATTGCTGGTCATATGGGAAGTCTATGTTTTTAATCTTATTAGAAACTATCAAACTTGTTCAAAGTAACTTTATCATTTTGCTTTCCTGTCCACACTGGTTGAGAATTCCAGGTCCTTTGTATCTCTTAAGCACTTGGTATTGTTATTTTTTTTTTTTTAAGATTTTATTTATTTATTTCACAGAGATCACAAGTAGGCAGAGAGGCTGGCAGGGCGGGGGATGCAGGGGGAGCAGGCTCCCCGCTGAGCAGAGAGCCCGATGTGGGGCTTGATCCCAGGACCCTGAGATCATGACTTGAGCTGAAGGCAGAGGCTTTAACCCACTGAGCTACCCAGGCACCCTGGTATTGTTAATTTTTAAATTAGCTTTTCTAACAGGTGTGCAGTGGTATGTCATTGTGGTTTTAATTTGCATTTCCCTAATGACTGAAGATGTTGAACATCTTTTCATGTTTTTGCCTTCTGTATTTCTTTAGTGAAATATTTGTTCATATCTTTTGTCCATTTTTCAGTTATTTGTTGTCATATTGAATTGTAGTGGTTCTTTATTCTTGATAAAAGCTCTTTATCTGATACATGTTTTATCAATATTTTCTTTTATGCTGGTATTGATTGCAGCAGAAAATATTTTAATTTTGATGAAGTTGCATTCATTTTATTTCTTCATGGGTCATGTTTTTTATGTGTTATCCAAAAAGTTAAATAATTGCTCTCTGTAGGTTTATGAAGATAATTTTCTTGTATTCTCTTCAAGCAATTTTATATGTCCATTTAGAGTTAATTTTTGTACCTAGTGCAAGGTAAGAATTGAGATTTTTTTTTTCTTGCTTATAGCTGTCCAATTTTCATTCAACAAATATTAACTAATTTGGCATAATACAGAAATAGATATGAACAGCTTCTGCCTGTTAAGAATATCCTGGGATGCTGTGAAAGAAAGACTTATAAAAACATGAATTGTGGCATGGTATAATGCATGGGAGGTTAAGCATATATAGTTCATATTTGGATCCAGGCTTTACTGCTGTCTTGGCACAAGAGTTCAATAAAGAGTGGCTGTTATCCTATACTGAATACAGACCTTGAACACTGGATAAAGTAACTAGTCTCAGAAGGATGACTGAGTATTAAAGGAGGAGCTTCATCTTACCTCATTTTAAAGATGAAAAGACTATGGTAGAGAGAGGCTAAATAATTTTGCCCAAAGTCACACAGCTGCAGGATTTAGTAAGCTTTTACAAAATTGATTAGGGGCACCTGGGTCGCTAAGCGTCTGCCTTTGGTTCAGGTTATGAACTCGGGGTCCTGGGATTGAGCCCCTCATCGGGCTCTCTGCTCAGTGGGGAGTCCGCTTTGCCCTCTGCCTGCCGCTCCCCCTGCTTATGTTCTCTCTCTGTCTCTGTCAAATAAACAAAATCTTTTAAAAAAGAAAGAAAAAAACTGGTTATACTTTTTTTTTTTTTTTGAAGATTTTACTTATTTGAGAGAGGACACTTGCACTCATGTGCACAAGGGTGGGATGGGGGGGCAGAGGGAGAGGGAGAAGTAGACTCCCTGCTGAGCAGGGAGCCTGATGGGGGACTTAGTCCCAGGACCCTGAGTTCATAACCTGAACCAAAGGCAGATGCTTAACTAACTGAGTCACCCAGGGACCCCTAAAACTGGTTATACATCCTGAAGCATTCGTTTCAGGTTGAGTCTAGTGTATGTAGCAGTATGCTAGGCACTGAATATTCTTCCAGAATAAAGACTATCTTGTTTTGCTTTTCTGTCCTTATTACTTGGCACTTAAGAACTCAGCAAACATTTATTGAATGAATGAAGGTTATTTTATTTTATTTATTTATTTTTTTAAAGATTGTATTTATTTATTTGACAGAGAGATCACAATTAGGCAGAGAGGCAGGCAGAGAGAGAGGGGGAAGCAGGCTCCCTGCTGAGCAGAGAGCCCGATGTGGGGCTTGATCCCAGGACCTGAGATCATGACCTGAGCTGAAGGCAGAGGCTTAACCCACTGAGCCACCCAGGTGCCCCAAATGATGAAGGTTATTTTAAAATTGTAGTGTAGAATATGTGAATTAGATTATATGACACATGAGGAAATTGCAAGTTGTGTTTTGGGCTTTTGAATCTAGAAACCAATAATGAGTAAGTCAGCCATATTTGTGTTTCTGCTGTGTTCCTATGTTTCGTGTACCCAGTTCCATAAGACTGACCATAAACTGCAACTTTGTGGTTTATCTGGCTGGCTCAGTTGATAGAGCATGCAACTCTTAAATCAGGATTGTGAATTCAACTCCACATTGGATGTAGAGATTACTTAAAAAAGAAAATCTTTAAAAAAAAAAAAAAAAAGGTGCCTGGGTAGCACAGTGGGTTGAGTTACCAGCTGTTGATTTTGGCTCAGATCAAAATCTTAGGGTAGGGAGATGGAGCCCTGCATTGGGCTCTGTGCTGAATGTGGAGCCTGCTTGGGATTCTCTCCCTCTTTCTCAGAATAATAATAATAATAATAATAAAAGAAATTGCAATTTCATAAGTAAGAAATTGTCAAATATTGGCAATTTTCTATCAGTCCATTAAAGCCCTCTCTCATGTTACCTCCGTCTTTGCTAAATTGCTGTTTCCTATTTATCATTTAGGTGGAAAAAAACAGGATAAAATAAACTAAAAGAACATTTGTTGAGAAGAATATTTATCACATGCTTAGTTAGCCCTGTGTCTTAATTTAGGAAATGGTATGTAATCTTTAAGGAGCTCACAGACAAGTAGGGGTCATAGTAAGCCCCTAATCATTTTTCAAAAAGAAAAAAAGGTTGCACTTTTGTGTGATAATTGTAATAGAATATAGTGGTGAGAAGATTTCTTTTATGGCCCCTGCTTATCTGGGAGTAAAAAGGGAGGAGCTCTTTGAGCAGAAAATGTAAGCAGTCATTTGACATTGTTTTATGGGTGTGGATTTCATGATTTAAAATTGCTGATGCTAGCCATGAGTTACTGGCACAATGTGAAACATTTAAAAAGCTATATGGTGAACATCCTATTAAACTGTCAACTTCTAATTGTCTGCCACAGCTTCCTTTTCATCCTTATTTCATAGCAGTATGATTTGTGGATAGGTTGGTGTGCTTCATGATGAAATTTATTGAGCAGTGTTTTTAGAAATTCAGACACTTCAGTGTTTTGATACCTTTATTTAAAATGTTTTAAGTCACTATTAATCTTTTTTTTTTTAAGATTTTATTTATTTATTTGACAAAGAGAGATCACAAGTAGACAGACAGGCAGGCAGAGAGAGAGGGGGAAGCAGGCTCCCTGCTGAGCAGAGAGCCCGACGTGGGACTTGATCCCAGGACCCTGAGATCATGGCCTGAGCCGAAAGCAGCGGCTTAACCCACTGAGCCACCCAGGCGCCCCTAAGTCACTATTAATCTTGGCCATAATACCATTCTTGATCTTTTCTCCAAGTTCAGGAGTATGGTATGGACTTCATAAAAGATAGTTATAAAAACTGCCGGGGAGGTGGGGGTGCCTGGGTGGCTCAGTGGGTTAACGTCTCTGCCTTTGGCTCAGGTCATGGTCCCAGAGCCCTGGGATTGAGCCCCACATTGGGCTCTCTGCTCAGTCGGGAGCCTGCTTCCCTCTCTCTCTGCCTGCCTCTCTGCCTACTTGTGATCCTGTCAAATAAATTAAAAAATCTTAAAAAAAAAAAACCAAAACTGACAGGGGCACTTGGGTGGCTCAGTCAGTTAAGCATCTGACTTTGGTTCAGGTCATGGTCTCAGGGTCCTGGAATCGATCCCCACGTCTGGCTCCATGCTCAGTGGGGAGTCTGCTTGTCCTTCACCCTCTGTCCCTCCCCCACTCATGCTCTCTTCTCTCACTCAAATAAATAAATAGAATCTTTAAAAAGCAACAAAAAAACCCTTACAGGCAGATACTGGCAGTTTTGGATGCTCTTTTGCCAACTTTGGCTTGAATTCATGACCCTGAGATTAAGACTGAGCTGAGATCAAGAGTTGGACACTTAACCGATTGAGTCACCCAAGTGCCCCTTGCAAGCAATTTTTTGAAGTAGTTCTTAATAATCCCCATTTTGGGGCATCAGGTTCTACTATGAACCTAGGAAAAGTATATATGCCCTCTAATTTTTTCATATAATTTGATCCAGAAGAAGAACTCTTTTTCTCTAATAGTAACTATTCAGGAAAAGGTATTTTAAAAATATGACACCCCAAATACTCCTCCCTGGATTAGTATCAGGTGACATATTCTTGGTCTGGTTCTGCCATTTACTAATTGGGATTTTCTTGGACATGTCCCTTAAACATTCCTTGTTTTATCTCATAAAATTGATTTGAGAATCACATGAGGTCATGAAATATAAGTGTTGAACCACAAAGTGTATGTAAGCAAACTAGTATTTTAGGTAAAGTCACACAGTCATTATTATTGGAATTAAACTAACACTAGCTCTTTTTCCTTTTGAAAAAGACTACTAATGCATTTTTTATTCTTAAGAGTATCTTATTCAAAGTTCTTTAATTAGATTAAGTCAAGTAAAGTTTCCTTAGTGCTTTTGGTTACACAAGTCAAATTCTTAGACATTAGCAGTATTCAGAATTCTTTTCTAAGAGTATTGGGTCAGTTTTATTATATCTTGTTTAAGATGCTTTGTGTGTGTGTGTGTGCTTGCTTTGTTCCTCTGCTTATGAGGTTTAAATAAATAATGTACTTGAAATGCTTTTTTCCTAGATGGAGATGGGGATGGAGATGGAGCAGCTGGAAAGAAGAAGAAAAAGAAGAAGAAGAAGAGAGGACGTTAGTGTCTTAAGTTGATCTTACCTGACAAATAAAAAGTATCTATTAACCAGCAGGTTTGAATAGGTTTGAAATGGCTTAAGATCCCATTGTGTGTCAAGGAAATAAATTTAGGCTTATTAGAGGTGGAATTTAGTGAAACTCACAACTGTTTTTTCATTTAACAATCTGTTGGCATTTTCTTTATCTTATTCCCTTATTGAGCTAAGGGATGTTAATAATAAGTTGGTTGCATTTTACTGCAATTTAGGAATGAATTTATAATTTAAAACTTGAATAATACAGGTAACAGTTCTGTCAGGGATGAATAAAGTCCTACTACTGTGCATAATAGGATAAACATAGTTTGCAGTTCACCTGCCAGCTTTGAAATAATGAGATTCTTGATAAATATTTAATGAAGAGTACCATTATTTAAAATTTGTGTATATGGTTGAATTTTATTAATTACATTGTACTATTTTGTATTCATTTAAAATATGATCCTGCTTGTTGTTTTGTTTCTATAAATGGCAAACCAAACCTCTTGAGGGATCTGATATTCAATTAGGGAGACCAAGGGGAGATTGTATAGTCTTGGGGAATAAAAGTTGGGTTGAGAATCAGAACAAGTTCTAATCTTAAGTGCCCTTTAGGGTATAGGGACCACTGAGTATCTGGTTATACCTTCCTTTAAATCTTTCAGGCTAAAATTTTATGAATCAAAATATTGGAGGCTTGACTCATTTTTATATCTATGTTAAGAGAAATACTTAAATGTTTTTTAAGAAAGCTTTTGGCTCTACCAGGAATTTTCCAGATGTGTCACCAGATGAGGATGGGATAGCCTTCTTTTTATTCAGGCATCTATTTTCAGATCCTTCTAGTCATAGGATGTTAGTTCTGTCCCTAGCATAGTTGGTACTTAATGAGCACGGGTTACCCATGTTTTAGAAATCTTCCAGTGATTGTAATGTCATATTCCCTCCATTCAAAAATTGTTAAAAGTGTGCTCGTGAGACATGGTATTACCTGAGAATGGCTTGAGAGAGAACTATTTCTCCCAATACTCTTATATTACTCCCTAATGAAGGTAAATAAGGGGCTATTTTGTATTTGCCCTTGGTCAAATTCCTCCACTGACAGATGTTTTAGTATGATGCCATCATTTTTTATTGTGCTTCCTCTGAGGATGTTGAACTTACTTTTCATTTTATTTCTTTATGAGTACTCTCAAGAGACAGTCTTTTGTCTGGTCTTGGTATCAAGAATAATTGTGCTTTTCCTGAGTACTTAATGTGCTTTATCTTATAAACATGACCCATGCAAATAACCAAGCCTTTTTTTTTTTTTTTTTTTTTTTTTTTTAAGTATTGGCTCCTAGAGGGCTTAGAGTCAAATCTGTGGTTTTGTATTGGTAGTATTTCAGGTACTATTTTATGTTCTTTCCATGTTTTGATTTTTGTTCTCTAATTTACTGTCTCTTATTTGTGTATTTTATATATTCTTGTAGGCTATCATAAATCGCTTGTGGAATAAACCAAATAATGTAATTATGGACTGTTCACTGCCCTCATTTTCCTCATCTCTAAAGTGAGAGAATTATAAGTGATAGTTAATGGTAACTGCAGTACAAATTGTTATGCATAGTTTTAGATAATACCTTGGACATAGTATATAATAGTTTTCACAGGTTACCCAGCATTTCATCTTGTTCTTCATTTTGTAGATGAGGAAACTGAGGCTTGGCACATCTAGCCATTTGTCCAAGTCACAGTTAATAAGTGGTTGAGGCTAGACTTCAGCTCTCATATTTTGATTACAAATTTTTTTCTCTAATGATCTTTTTAGTTTTTTATTCTGTGTTAATAATTCATGGACATATAAAAGGCATCTTTATCAGAATTGTAGCTGAGATAAAGCTGAGGGCAGTGCAATAGTACTTTGTTGATAAAACTCAAGATTTCAAAAGATCAGGAAAACTGAGAAATAGGCAGGTATTAACAAGCTGAAATTTAATAGACATATATTAAGTTAGTACAGAGTGATAAGGTCTAAGGATTTTGAGTGTTAGTATAATGTGAGCCAAAAAGCAGGGAGTCGTAACTATTTAATAGGTGTAGGATTTTTAGAATCAGTAGTATAGCCTTATATTAATTATACCTTATTTGGGCCATTAATTTAAGTCAATTCTAATACCAACTTAAAAGGAACATTGACAGTTTCAGGGTTGGCAAATAGAGGTGAAAGTGTTAAGAACCATATCCTTTAACGTGATTTCTCATCATACAGAGGAAGGAATCAGTAGAAATTAAAAATAAAATTTTTTCAACTGTGAAGAATAAAGCTAGAACTAACAGATGAAAATAACAGGGAGAGAGAAGTGTAGGAAGAGCTTTCTAATAGAGTTCTTTCAAAATGAATGGATTTTCACTTCAGAGATAGATTGTCTGCATTGTTGGGAGCACACTGCCATATGTCAGGAGTATTATGGGATTCCTAGATTTAAGTGTAAAGCAAAATTAGGTGATCTCTAAGATCTTTTTTTTATATAAATTCTGCTGTTTCCTCTTAGGAGGAACCTTAAAGCGTTTCCCAAGTTTATGCTCCCATAGAGCACTTTTAAACATTATGTAAAGTCAAAAACATTTGGTGCTCATGAGGTACTGAGTGTTTGAATTAAAAGAAGAAACCAAAATATGGTTCCATGGGTAAATGATGTGGTTCAATAAATGGTTATACTTTTATTTATATAGTTCTTTTTCCCCCATTGCAGAACAAAGAGAGCAAAATGGTGTTAAACTTTAAGACACACAAAATCCATAAGGCCAGTTACAATCAAAAGGATACCACATATTTCACCTCAGTAGTTAAAGTGCTACAGAAATGCATCAAGTGTCCAATATCACTGCATAAATTAATAGACTTCCTGGCATTTTTGGGGAACAGCATTCATTACTAAAAGGCAGTTCTTTATATAGTGGGAATTCTATAACTGGTTCAGTGTATTTAAAAATTTTTTTAAAAGACAAATCTCCAGATATTTTTAAAAATCATCTTGGAACACTGGTGTCTTTTAGAATATAGTTTGGGAAATAATGTTCTTAAAATGTATGCTAAGGACTATAAATTTTTTTAAGTATCTGGGAATTTGTATATGTCTACCTAAATTCTTTTAGCACTGGGTATGTATACTCTTAACTTTTATACCTAATATACCCTTGAAATAAGTTCTTCACTTACTAATATGTAATAGCGTTATATTTTTACCTCATTGTTGTAGGGTTTCTTTCATACTTTCTTGTTTCCTCTTTGATTTTTATTTGTGAAAACCAGCCTCTCTGTGTTATTCTATTTCTGGTATAGTAAATGAAGACAAAAATACTAGAAATGTACTTTCTGCCAAGATATATTCTGTTTAAATACATAATGGAGTTCTAAGGAGTTGAATATTTCTATTCCCAAGCAACAGTAAATTGGAGAGGAGGTGGCCAGCATGGTGAAATATCTTCTGTTTTTAACCATAAGGCTATGATAGCAAGAAGGTTCCTTAAATTAGGATATACAGCAGCCATCAGGAACTGAGAAAAAATGTAATGATAACTGCTTAATTTTATTTGTAACTACAGAAGTTAATGTTTTATTTGTATCTCACAGCAAAAGTTCAAACAGACCCTCCCTCAGTTCCAATATGTGACCTGTATCCTAACGGTGTATTTCCCAAAGGACAAGAATGCGAGTACCCACCCACACAAGATGGGTAAGAATCATAAGATAACTTCCAGTTTGACTTTTGAAAGTTGTAGTTTAGCGATAAAGCAGATTTGATTTTTCTCAGAACTTTGCTCCACTACCTTAATAAAAGCTTGTGAATTGTTATAGAAAATACAGTAGAAGCCGTCTTATCCAAAATGATTGGGACCAGTAGTAGTTCAGTTAGTCAAAAAAGTATGTTAAAGTGGGGATCACAAAACTAAAAAATCTTTATTGATAAAAGTTAAACATTTGTTTTTCATCAGTCTCAGTATTAGAACATGGATTTGTATCGTACTCCACTTTTTTCTTCCCATAAGCTATATCCATAATACATTGTCTGTAAATGTAATCCATTTTGAGCTTCCATGAGGAATACAAGCTAAGTAATCTGAGGGCTGATATTGGATATTTACATTTTTTTCCTCAAACCATTTGCAGCTGCGCTTAATTTGACAGGTATTTTTTGATGACTTTATTGAGATTTTTCTGAGTAGTCAATTTAGTTTCATTGGGAAAATTATTTTTATGTACTATATAACTAAATTACATAATTATAGTAACAAGTACAGATGACTTAACACTGGTTTGCAGATGCATCACCTGATTGTTGAAAGTGTTTTGAAAGGATACATTTCACCTGGTCAGCAGACACTCAATAGTGGCATTACGCTGACTGGTTAAGAACATGGAAGCTGGGATTCAAATGAATCCCTGCTCTAACACTTATTAGCTTTGTGACTTGGGCAAGTAATTTATCATGTCTTTGCTTTCATTTCTTCATCTATAAAATGAGCACTTCGTAGGGTTGTGAGGAATAATAATATATGCAAAGCACTTAGGAGAGTAACACGCATAGTAAGCATGATGTGTTAGCTGCTGCCGTCAGCCCCTCATATTCAGCATACAATGAGCATTGGTTAGTATATTTTTACAGAGAGAATCAAGAGCATCAGTTAATCCAGTGGTTGCAATAGTTGGTTAAGAAAGCTTCTACTGTAGCCTTGTTTCATTGACCTGTAAAGACATCATTGTTTTTCTTTAAACTTTAGGAAAGAACATGATGTTGTTACATTTAATCCCCCTCCTTCAGTCCTAGTACTTTCAGTGAATAAGTATAAAGTTCTGAAATTTTGCGTCATGAGCATCTTTTCTTTGAATTTGAATTCACCAGTCACTATTCCTATCTTAAAGTGTCTATTTTTGAAATGTCACAGACATATAATTTCACATTAATTAACTTAAATTTTCATAGTAAAATAATCACATTTATTTTTAAAGACAGTCTTTTTATTTTATTTATTTATTTTTGCTTGTTCCCTCTTCCTTCCCTTCTTTCCAGACCCATGTAAACACCTAGCAGGTAGCCCTCCATATTTTTATACACTTATTTATGTGTACATCTATGTCCATTTATGTGAAGGGACTCTTTTAGTCTTGTTTTCCAAAATGGAATCATAGGCACACTTTCCTCACCTTTTCTCCTTCAGGACTATCTCTTAGAAAGCCCTCCAACTCAGTCAGAATAGCAGTTATTCCTTTGAATGGTTTCATAATATTCCGTAGTGTGGCTGTGCCATACTTTATTCCACCATTTTCTAATTGATCAGCCTTCATTCTGTCTCTGTTTTTTGCAATACTACAAACCATTCTGTAATAAAAATTTCTAAGAATATACACGTGTGTGTGTGTATTATCTCCTTATGTTATGGCAGTTTTATTATGGAATAGTTTTCCAGGAGTGGAATTGCTGTATCAAAGAATATATTAATACTTTATGATTCCCAGACTAATAACTTTGAGCATTTTTTTATTGTTGGCTTTATTGTTTTTCAAGATAGAACTATACTACAAACAGCTTTATAAGCCTTTTTAAAATTTGTTTTCATGTTAGTAAAGAAATCAACAGTATTTTTATATGTCTCTGTATATGTATGTGTTTTCTACTGATTTTTCTTTTTTTGCTAGAACATTTAAAAAATAAGTTTGGGGTTTTTTGTTTTTGTTTTTGTTTTTACAATTTTATTTATTTGACACACAAAGAGACATCACAAGTAGGCAGAGAGGCTGGCAGAGAGAGGGGGAAGCAGGCTCCTAGCTGAGCAGAGAGCCGGATGTGGGACTCTATCGCAGGACCCTGAGCTTATGACCTGAGCCGAAAGCAGAGGCTTAACCCTCTGAGCCACCCAAGTGCTTCCCAAGTGCTTCCCCCCCCCCTTTTTTTTTTAAGTTAGATCTCCAAGCCCAGCATGGGTTTTGAACTCATGACCCTGAGATCTAGAGTTGCATGTTCTACCAACAGAGCCAGCCAGGTACCCCAAGTCTCTTTTGAGTCTTCACTTCTAAAAACTTCAAGCAATGGGGTACCTGGGTAGCTCAATTGTTAGGTGTCCAACTCTTGATCTCAGCTCAGGTTTTGTTTTTTTTTTTTTTTGGATTATTTAATCATTTCAGAGGGAGTGGGTGGGGACATATGGAAAGGGAAAAGGAAAGAAGCAGACTAAGCAGACTCCCCCTCTGAGAGCTGAGCCTGTTGAGGATGGATCTCACAACCCTGAGATATGACCTTAGCCGAAATCAAGAGTTACAAGCTTAACCAACTGAGTTGCTCAGGTGCTCCTCAGCTCAAGTCTTAATCTCAGGGTAGTGAGTATGAGCCCCAAGTTGAGCTGCATGCTGGTTGTGGAGCCTACTTAAAAAAACAAACTTCAAGCATCTCGCAAGAATTAGATATTCTTCAAATTATCACACTTCATAAATTAACAGTAATTTTCCAGTATCATGTAAGTACCTAGTTCATATTTAGAATTTTTTCCCCTATTATCCCTGAGATATGTCTTTAGCAATTTTTGCCCTCTAAACCATGATCTAGTCAAGGTTCATATGGTGCATATAGTTAGAATCTCTACCTTCTTCTCTATTGCACTGACTTTTTGAAGAGACCAGGTAGTTTAGAAAGTCTTATATTTTGGGATTTCTTTTATTGTTTCCTTGTGGTGTCATTAAGCTTTTTTCTCTATGCCTTTATTTTCTGTAAACTGGAATTAGTTGTAAAGGGTTAGATTAGAGTTAGATTAAGCACTTTGGCAGGAACGTAAAAGTGATACTATGTTCTTCATATTGTATCATAGTCTGTTGCATCAGGTATAAGGTCAGGTTTTTCTCTTACTAGTTTTACTGTATTGATCACTTGGTTAATGTGGTAATAGCCAGCTGTTTCTTTTTTAAAGGTACTTTTTCCTTTTTGTAGTTTTCAAATAATCTGTGTGGGTAGTTTGGTACCATTGGAATATCCTTTTCTTCAACAACTTTTTTATTATTTCGGTATCTATCCATGCTTTATCAGTTATTTCCTTGGGGACTGCAGAATGGTGGATTTCTAATTCTGTTGTTCTTTCTACATTTATTAGCTGACCTGTAAGAAGAATTTTCCCTATCCACTGGGTATCACTTAACTTTATCAGTTAACTACAGTTTCTTATAGACAGTTAAAATATGCTTTATTTTTCCCCTTTTAAGTACCAGTTTTCAGAGGAAAGAATTGGTGTCATGTCTGTGTGTGTTCTTATTTCTGGGTTAAAAACATGCATTTTTATTTTTATTTTTTTTTAAAGATTTTATTTATTTATTTGACAGACAGAGATCACAAGTAGCAGAGGCAGGCAGAGAGAGGGAAGCAGGCTCCCTGCTGAGCAGAGAGCCCGATTGCGGGGCTCGATCCCAGGACCCTGGGATCATGACCTGAGCTGAAGGCAGAGGCTTAACCCACTGAGCCACCCAGGCACCCCAAAAGACATGCATTTTTAAATGGCTTTTTATAAATGTGGCATTTAGTGATTTAAAAATACAAATATAACTAGTTTTTAAGTTATCTATGCAATGAGTTCAGAAATGTTTTGACTGAAATTAATTGGATTCCTTTGTGTCTTTTGGTTTGACTTAGTATTTTATGCTTTTAATCTAATAAAAATGATGAAACACTGAAAAGACTCAGAAGTATGAAAGAGGTGTGAATTTACATACTCTATAAACACTTCTGTAAAGATTCTTTCAAGCAGTTATTCTGATAGTTTTGTTGCACAGATATGTTTTAAGCATTTTTAACCCACCTCTGTCAGTTGGATGAATTAATTGCACTTTCAGAGATTTATTATGAGCTCAGAAGGTTTTTTCCATCTTATTAATTTCTCTATTTTTGCTAAATAGACTGATGATCAAAATGTTATATTTAGGAAAGGGGAGAGGCTCCTTCATCATATTTTCTTAGAAATAGTACGAGCTTGGAATTATGATTTAGAGCTTGAATTCACTGCTTCTAAAAATCAGCTATGCAGCTTCAGAAGTATAAGATCATGTGAGGCATGTTGATTTCAGTATTGGGGATCTTTATTGTATTATGTTCTGATTCTAAAATGTAGTCAAATAGCATTTGGATTTTTTTTTTTTTTTAAGATTTTATTTATTTATTTGTCAGAGTGAGCACAGGCAGACAGAGTGGCAGGCAGAGGCAGATGGAGAAGTAGGCTCCCGCTAAGCAAGGAGCCTGATGTGGGACTCGATCCCAGGATGCTGGGATCATGACCTGAGCCGAAGGCAGCGGCTTAACCAACTGAGCCACCCAGGCATCCCTAGCATTTGGATTTTAATTATACTATACTTAACATTTTAACCTACAAGAAGTGAATTTGAGGAATTGAAAAGAAATGCGAATTGATAGTAACCAATTTCATTTTCATGGCTGATACCCATCAGTTCCCTGTGAAAATAGTCTAATCATTCTAGAGAAAACGTTTGAAGATATTTTTGTTTTTCACAAAATGTTTGGCTTTTGGGGCAGGGCTGTCCATATAGGTTTGGCTGTAGTATATGTGCCGGAGTTATGTCTATGTAAGAGATGTGATATGAAGAATTGTGATATGTTTAGTTTAAAAATTGATTTGAGACTTTATCCAGTACTCTTAAGCCTGAAAATGATGTTTTCTTAGAATATTTGGGTTCTTGGTTCCCAGGAAAGATTTTTAGATTCATGGGAGAGAATGGACTGGAGTTCTGTCTGGAGGTCAGGAGATATAGTTTGTCTGTCCCATCATGGAGTGAGCAACTATATTGCCGCTGAAAAAGATTGAGCCACATGTCGAGAGTATAGTTTTTAAAGGATCTTATCCTGTTACCTTCTTGTCCAAGGATGTTTGTTTGAATACTTCTATTAGGAATTGCTTCTTGAGTCTTCACTATTCTGATAAAAGTAGTTTATATACATTTAAATATTTGTGGAGTTTAAAACTGACCTTAACAGATGGTGTTGCAATATTTCAGTTTTCTGATAACATCACTATACAGATTCAAAATACATTTCTGGGGGGGGTATGAAGAGGGTGGTTGGGTTATGGACATTGGGGAGGGTATGTGAAGGTGAGTGCTGTGAAGTGTGTAAGCCTGATGAGTCACCTGTACCCCTGGGGCAAATAACACATTATATGTTAATAAAAATAATTTAAAAAATACATTTCTAAACAAAAGAAACCAAAGAAGGCTCTGTGATGCTTAAGTATCCTTAAATAGACATTTGAGTCTTTATAGCAAATTAGAGGTGTTAGATGTTGGCACACAGGTAGCTGCCGCAGTAGAAAGTAATCATAATGAACTTGACAGTGACAGAAAAACAGCATTTGGGGCCATTAACTTAGGGACTTGGTGTAGAGCAGTTGTATAAACTTCTTTAAAGGCCCATATAGGAAATATTTCAGGCCTTGGGTGTTACTCATTTCTGCCTTTGTAGCATGCAAGTAGCTAAAGACAGCATATAAACAAATGGGCATAACTGTATTGCAGTACGATTTTATTGACAAAACAGGTGCTGGCTGGATTTGCCTGTAGACCATACTTGGAGACAAATAGTAATTCCTTGAAGGCATCACTTTTGTAAGTGAATATAATTTATATATTGGTGATCACTGAGTTTGTGAGCTGTATATTCAATATTGCTTAATGTGTGAAAGTTACAACTTTTTAAAAGATTTTCATTTGAAAACAGTTACTGCTTTTGAAATATGCTGCTTAAAGGGAGTCATTGGATCTCCTCATTCCCAGATACTGGATAAAAAATGTTTGTTACTCCTGACAGCTTTTTTTTTTTTTTTTAAGATTTTATTTATTTATTTGACAGAGACACAGTGAGAGAGGGAACACAAGCAGGGGGAGTGGGGGAGGGAGAAGCGGACTCCCTGCTTGAGCAGGGAGCCCTCTGCATAGTTGATCCCAGGACCCTGAGATCATGATTGGAGCCAAAGGTAGACACTTAACAACTGAGCCACCCAGGCGCCCCATACTCCTGGCAGTTTTAAAATATGACCCATATTCTTCAAGGAAGATCACTTCACATATAGATATATAGATATAGATATACACATATATACATACATACATACATACATACAGTTAGAAAAATCCTACAAAAACACACAATATTTTATGTTTTGAGGGAGGTGTATAAAGATTTCCAGGTCAGGTTTTTGCATTAGTACTTACCCTGTGTATGAAGTTAAATGCTAATTTTGGTGTGGTCTTTTGAAGTCTCTTAGACTATAACCTTGAGTGGAAGGATGACTATTTTCTCCCATTCCTTGGTTTCTAGGACTCTCTTCTGACTTAAGATTTTTGTCTTTTTGTGTGGCAGAGTTTTAGTCTCTATGAATGAAATCTCACTTGAGGTTGTTGGGGTTTTTTTTGTTGTTGTTGTTGTTGTTGTTTTTTTCTTTTGAGTCCTAAAGAAGGTTTAACTTGATTTGGCTGGATTGCAAATGTGTGACTACTTGTATTTCAGAAATTTTGATGACATTTAATAAGAGAAGCTGAATGTGTATCGTTTTATCTAAAATGTCTTAAATTAGTATATTTTTATCTCTCCGCTTTTAAGTTTATCTGCTGTTTCTTAATGACTAATACTATGCTGTACATACTATAAAGGCGAACAGCTGCTTGGAGAACTACGAGTGAAGAAAAGAAAGCATTAGATCAAGCTAGTGAAGAGATATGGAATGATTTTCGAGAAGCTGCAGAAGCACATCGACAAGTTAGAAAATATGTTATGAGCTGGATCAAGCCGGGGATGACAATGATAGAAATCTGGTAAAAGAAATATATTTTTGTAAGAATATGATGGTTTTTTTTCTTTAGTGCTTTTTTTTTTTCTTTAGTGCTAACTCCAATTGTAATGTTTGGCATTCATTATTTGCTAAAACCTGAAAAAGTGAAGCTCCTAGAAATATCTCTGAGTTCTTGTACTGTAGATGTAATGAGGAAATTGTAAGAGGACATTTATACCTCAACCATCCTATTTTGTATTCATGTACACTTACATATGCAAATGCACACATTATTATGATTCTTATGTTCTGCTTGAAAATCTGTTATTTTGCTATCTAACAATATCAAAATTATTGGTCATAAAACATAGTTATAATGCAATGAAGAAACCAATAAAAGTAGTTATTTCTCTAGTTTTCCCTGAGAAGTAATTAGTTGTAAAAGGCAACAGTCCTCTAATTCAGACAATTTTTTAGGTGTGCAACATTGAGCAAATAAAACATAGTCAACATTTAAATTAGTCTAAGTCAAGAATCTCATTTCCTAGAAAACTAAATAAAAAGTGGATCTTGTGGTTCTGTTTCTTCAGACTTCTAATGGAAATAAATTCTTTTTATCTTTTAGAGATGAGCTGCTATTTTCATAGCATCAGAGAACTATTTATTCATATCTAGGAAGTGCTCAGGTCACTCCCAGAAACTAAGAGTATTTAGTAAACTCTCTGGACCTGATGACCTGTAGGTTATATAAGGATAAAAATGTAAAAATAATTTTTTTTTAATAGTGAAAAGCTGGAAGACTGTTCACGAAAGCTAATTAAAGAGAATGGATTAAATGCAGGCCTGGCATTTCCTACCGGATGCTCTCTGAATAACTGTGCTGCCCATTATACTCCAAATGCTGGTGACACAACAGTATTACAGTATGATGACATCTGTAAGATAGACTTTGGAACACATATAAGTGGTAAGTTCTTGGAAATAAGCCTCCACTAGCCAAAAAAAATCTAGTCTTCTTTCTGCTGGATGGGGCTACATGTTTTGAACTCTCCAGTTTTCTTCTTTAGCCTTACTTTTCAGTAGAGCTGTGTTGAGGCAGATTTGGAGATTTTTTAAGCATCCTGCTAAATGGAATATAATGGAAACTGTTGGGTGGTTGAGGTTTATTATTTTTTGTATCAAAGTGTGAAGAATTTAGTCATGCATTTCTTCATGTTGTTTCAGACATTTATCCGTATAACAACAAACATTTACTTAGATCCTTTAAGTTTCAACCTTTATATACTTGCTGGCTTTTCTAAATTCTCTCTCAAACCTCCTCAGGTTAGTATCTTTTTATCTCACTTTAGGTGAGAAAATAAAGCTCAAATAAAGTATTTAACCCGAGGTTTTGCTAAATTGGAGGAACTGAACTGATGATTGACCAGTGTCTGTGGACCCATACATTTTCTCTGCCCACATTGCTATTCTTTAGTTCCCCAGGTTTTTCTCTTTGATTTCTGTTTATAATTTTGCTTATCCACCTGGGTTAGTACTGGATTGGTACTATCTTGAAGTAATATATACTAACACTGGAAATAGTCTTTTTATTATAAAATCTTTATGTAACTAATGTATGCTTTTTTCCACTTGGATTGTGAATACTGTCTGGGTACTTGGACTGTTGCCTTCATCTGAACGCATCATTTTATTTTCCTCTTAACTAGTAAGTTTAATAGAGTAGATGCTATGAAGTAGACAGATTGACTAGTGGATAAGTCAACTTAAAGAAGAATTTTCTCTTTCAGGTAGGATTATTGACTGTGCTTTTACTGTTACTTTTAATCCCAAATATGATACATTATTAAAAGCTGTAAAAGATGCCACTAACACTGGAATAAAGGTATGTGAACTAGAAGCACAATTTCATTCAATGTCTTTTGAACCTCTTCTAGCCTGTTTAAGGTCTTTGGATTATGTAAGACCGGTCTGCTGCCCTTAGGGTTTTAAAGTGGGTAATTCTAATACACTGTACCAAAGACTTACAGAGGAAGTTATAATGTGCAAAGCAGTTTATTTTAAAATACTAATAAGTTGCTATAAAAATCTTCATTTTGAGTAAAAATGTATACATCATTTTGTTTTTAGTGTGCTGGAATTGATGTCCGTCTGTGTGATGTTGGTGAGGCCATCCAAGAAGTTATGGAATCCTATGAGGTTGAAATAGATGGGAAGACATATCAAGGTATGCTTTTAAAAACTGTATCTTATTTTGAAATGCATGTGACCTCTTACAGAATTAATTTTGCAGAATCATGTTGAGTGCTTTCTTTGGGTCAGCAGCTTTATCTCTATGTCCTGGGAATACAAAGAGGGAAAATGGGGGAGGGGGGAAATGAATGACCTCCTCATATTAGGAAAACTGTGGTCACTAGGTGGGAACTATTGTCAAGCTACTGTGGTGTAGGTGATGGGACACCAAGGGATTTATCCCAGAATGGCCAAAAGGCAGACTTGGTTTTCTGTACAGGACTAGTCAGATTGAGGCTCAGAGACAAGCCAGAGACTCTTTCCATTGATGCCTCCACCACCACCCCCGACTTTTTGCTTTGAATTCAGAATTTAGAGTCCAGTTAATTTCTTGTGTGTCTTTCCTTTAATCTCTATTCCCTTTGCCTCTTAGTCTTTCTTAGCTACTGCCTTAGGTACATAGTCCCAGAGTCACCTATGCTTTCTGCTGCTTTCCCATCATTCCAGCCTTTCTCCAGTCTCCGGGTCTGACCACTATCCCCCTTCCTAATCTCTGCTCACTGTTTTCTCTAACTGCTATTCTAATAACTTTCTCACAGAGTATTTCCTACATTTCCTTTAACCAAATCCTGTCTCTTCTTTATATTCCTCTTTGCAGAGACACTCATGCTTCCTTGCCCTCAGTAAATTCACATCATTTAGCATTTTTTGCATAACCTTGCTGATAGTGATAGAGTACTGTTTCTACCAACTACAGAAGGGGTTCTTCCTTTGGAACCTGATGTTATCTGTCCTTGTTGCTCTCTGTCAGATCCTGTGAACACCAGTACAAATCAAATTACTCTCTTAAGGCTGCTCACATGTGGATGGGAGGTATTACGGGATAATGAAGAAAACATATTGTAAGGTCAGACAGGTCTATCTGACTTAGATAAACTTAGTAATACTGTAGGGTCAGACAGGTCTATCTGAACTTAGATAAATCCTGTAAACAGAACCTAAGTTTCTTTGACTGTAATAGGATTAAGGATGTCATGTTTTCTTTTTTTTTTTTTTTTAAAGAACTGTAAATTTTATGACAATGCATGGAATTTACTAGTGTGCAATAAATTTGTGATTTCCTTCCCCCAGATTTGGGATTGGTGTCACAACAAACAATGCTTACTCAAGTCCCTCTCAAATCATCTTTCCTTCTGTTGTTTTCTAATTCTATAATTTTGGTTGGCTTGTGTTCTGCCTTTCAGGATGTATTAAGTGACAGTTTGACTTAATATTTAGTTACCACATAACATTGCCAACCTGAAATATTGGAATCAATATCTGCCTTCTTACACTTTCCATTAACCCAGTGCAAAATTTTAGGTTCTGTTGTTTCAGCACCCCTTTTTTGATACCAGTTATTGTGTTGATCAAGGTTTTTAGTGGAGGGTGGCATAATTAATTTTTACTAATTTGAGTAGAAAGTATATAGACAAATCATGATGTTGGGAAGATAAAAAAATGGACAGTAGGCTGTATTCCCAGCAGCAGTTTCCAAAAACCACGTAACAGAATGAGCCATCAAGGGAGTGGTTTTATTTACCTTGATCAGGAAGCTATAGAATTGGAAAGTTACCTTAATAGTTATTGGTCCCAGAATTAGCCTGCTACAGTCACAACCTGTATAATATACAAATGGATACTCCTATGCCCTGCTCCTTCTGTGTAACTTGGTTTTTATGTGAGGTTGGTATAGCTAAGAAATCTTAAGTAAATGTATTTTTGATTGGCCTGTGGGGTAAGTTTGCCAGGTCTTGGAGAAATAGTGATGCTTACTGAATTTTTATTTATTTATTTATTTATTTATTTTTATTTTTATTTTTTTTAAGATTTTATTTATTTATTTGACAAGAGATCACAAGTAGGCAGAGAGGCAGGCAGAGAGAGAGAGGAGGAAGCAGGCTCCCTGCCGAGCAGAGAGCCCAATATGGGGCTCGATCCCAAGACCCTGGGATCATGACCTGAGCCGAAGGCAGAGGCTTAACCCACTGAGCCACCCAGGTGCCCCTGCTTACTGAATTTTAAAGTAAATTTAACTTACCATTTGTAAAAGAAGGTGAATTTTTTTGAAGAGCTAATTGAGAGTTTTTTCTGTGCCATCCCCTAAATATAATTGTCATTTTTTCATTGTCAGTGAATTGAAAAAAACCTTGCTACCTACTTCTGCCCTGAAAGAAGGGTAGCTTGTACTGAGAATTCTAGCACTGGTAAAGCTGATTTTTTTTTTTTTTTAAAGATTTTATTTATTTATTTGACAGAGAGAGATCACAAGTAGACAGAGAAGCAGGCAGAGAGAGAGAGGGAAGCAGACTCCCCGCCGAGCAGGGAGCCCGATGCGTGACTCGATCTCAAGACCCTGAGATCATGACCCGAGCCGAAGGCAGCGGCTTAACCCACTGAGCCACCCAGGCGCCCCTGATTTTTTTTTTTTTTTTTAAAGATTTTATTTATTTGACAGACAAGAGATCACAGGTAGGCAGAGCAGCAGGCAGAGAGAGAGGAAGGGAAGCAGGCTCCCTGCTGAGCAGAGAGCCCGATGCGGGGCTCGATCCCAGAACTCTGGGATCATGACCTGAGCCTAAGGCAGAGGCTTTACCCACTGAGCCACCTAGGCGCCCCTAAAGCTAGATTTTTTAAAACCCTTTTTTATTGTGGAATTACGTCATGTGTGAAGAGATACATGCAACATAAAAATTCAGTTAAGCAATTGTGAAGACTACAATCCCTTGTGGAATAGAATAATCCCAGCAGTTCAAAAGCCCTTCAGTTCTGTATACCCTTTTGAATTATAGTAGCCTTCCTCTAGCAAACCACTGCCTGGAGTGCTGAAGTATTTGCATTTGCTTTTCTTAATGTCTTTATCACCTAATTATGTATCCCTAAATAATAGTATTGTGCTTAATTTTGATATGTTTAATAAATAAAATAGTATGCGTACAACTGTGCCTTCCTTTGTTCTTTTTTTCTTTAGGTTTTATTTCAGTTGTTCACTGTATCGCAACTTTTTGTTTTTATTATTGTATAGTGTTCCATTGTGTGAATATACCACAATTCATTCTGTCATTGGTCTTGGGACCTTGGAATTGTTTAAATTTTCCTCACTAACACACGAGCTGTGCTATAATAATAAAATTTCATTTTATATTTCTGTCATTTTGATACAAAATTCTCATTTTCACATTACCTTTTGGTCCATAACTGTATTTTTTGTTTGTAATCACAGTGTACATGGCATTTTATAACTTTTATTAACGATACCTCCTTAGATGGACCCCCATTGTGTCATCACATAATTTGTTCTTTTCCCAGTATCTCCCTTCCTCCCTTCTAGTTTTTGGTAACACTGTAAACATCTTTTCATATTCCACTAGTTTTCCAGTTTGTATGTAACTGTGCCAATGTGGGGTTGTTTAGTAGAGCCATGTCTTATTTTTAAGTCAATACTTGAAGTCTGTGCCAGAAAGCTAAGAGATCTGTTTGTGCTCCTGAAGGCCCTGAATAACTGTCTTTTCCTGTTACGCCAGTGAAACCAATCCGTAACCTAAACGGACATTCAATTGGGCCATATAGAATACACGCTGGGAAAACAGTGCCCATTGTGAAAGGAGGAGAGGCAACAAGAATGGAGGTATGTGTGCCATTAATAGTGTTTTTTATGAAGCATTTTAATTTTTTTCCAAACTGAAGTTGGTGGTAGTTGAGTATGTAGTATGTTGAGCAAAATTAACTTGCCATCTGTACTCCAATAGGAATTGGTCTACGTGAATGTGCAGATCGTGTCTGGTCAGACAACGGCTCAGTTAGATGTGGAAGTTGGCTAGCCAAAGGGTGGTTTTTTCACCACTTATTAGGCATCTCTTAGGTGCCAGTCCCTTTAGTAGTCACTAAGGATGCAATAGTGAACAAAATAAAATTCCTGCCCATGTAAAGGCTACATTCTTTTTTCTTAAGTAGGCTCCATGCCCAGTGTGGAGCCCAGTCCGGGGCTTGAATTCACAGCCCTGAGATCAAGACCTGAGCCGAGATCAAGAGTCAGACACTTCACCAGCTGAGCCACCTGGGTGCCCCATAAAGGCTACATTCAAGCAGGAAGGGTGGATAATGACTACCAGGGGTTATTTCATGTTGTTTCTTACATGAAGTAAATAATACCTCAGGCTGACGTTAACAGGTGGCAATTTAATTAGTTCTTGATTTTTCTTCTCTCCCCTGACTCTTACATATTCTTCAGGAAGGAGAAGTGTATGCCATTGAAACCTTTGGAAGCACAGGAAAAGGTGTTGTTCATGATGATATGGAATGTTCACACTACATGAAAAACTTCGATGTTGGACATGTGCCAATCAGGTGAGAGACCGTTGTTTTTAATATGTTTCTTTTCCCAGTTAGCAGCATTTTTTAAAATTTGACAAATATCCGCAGTGGTACATTCATTAAGTGTACAGTTCTATAGCCTATCAGTAAGTTTTATGGATTTTTATAATACAGCAAAGAAACTAGCCTGTTAAAAATCGTAACCGCAATAAAAACGACATAGGCAGGTATTTTCTTAAGATACAATTTCCGATGGTAATTTGAGAGGTCATAATTTTGCTAGCATTTCTAGGTTGGTTTTTTGTTGTTGTTGTTTAAAGATTATTTATTTATTTATTAGAGCGAGAGAGAGAGAGAGAGAGAGAGAGAGAGATATCACAAGTAGGCAGAGAGGAAGGCAGAGAGAAAGGGGGAAGCAGGCTCCCCACTGAGCAGAGAGCCCGATGTGGGGCTCAATCCCAGGACCCTGAGACCATGACCTTAGCCGAAGGCAGAGGCTTAACCCACTGAGCCACCCAGGCACCCCTAGCATTTCTAGGTTTTTGTTCTTAATATTTTCTTATTGGTAAACTTTCTATTTTTACCTTTTTTTCCCCCCTTAACCTTTTTGGAGAAGATGGTTGAAGGATGGATTTATACCTCCTTTATGTGCAGGTCTTTTCAGCTTGATGCACAGAAAAGGAAATTGCCATCATAGTACTGTTGACGAGTCTCTATGGGGAAATTAACACACGTGCACATAGACACATATAAGACAGCCTTTAGCAGGTCTCCCATTCAGCTGCCATGTATAATTAGGTATGGGCTGTTACACATTCTGACTTTTGAATGTTAAAAGAGGCAACAAAAAATTTTTTGAATTACTGAGTAAAGCCACATCAACTGTATAAGTTTTCCTTAATGGGGAAACTTTTTTTTTCCTTAATGGGTAACTTTTTAGCTACCTTTAATTCTGGATTTTCTCTTCTTAGGCTTCCAAGAACAAAACACTTGTTGAATGTCATCAATGAAAACTTTGGCACCCTTGCCTTCTGCCGCAGATGGCTGGATCGCTTGGGAGAAAGTAAATACTTGATGGCTTTGAAGAATCTGTGTGACTTGGGCATTGTAGATCCGTATCCACCATTATGTGACATTAAAGGATCATACACAGCACAGTTTGAACATACCATACTGTTGCGTCCAACGTGTAAAGAAGTTGTCAGCAGAGGAGATGACTATTAAACTTAGTCCAAAGCCGCCTCAACATCTTTTATTTTCTAAGCTTTGTTGGAATACGTTATACCAGAAGTAATTTGCAACATGTCTGTTTAACAGTGGACCTATGTAATGCTTTTATCCATGTTTAAAAAGGAAGGAATTTGATCGAAGGCAAACCATCCAATGTAATTAGCCAAGGAAAAAGCTTTCAAGACTTTCAAATGTTAACTGTTTTTTCCCATCTAGGAAATGCTATAAAGCTCAAATTAGTTAGGAATGACTTATACATTTTTTGTTTGAACACCTAAGAGATGCTTTTCAGATATTTATATTGCCATATTCTTAATTGAATGCTTTGAATGACTACATCCAATTCTGCACCTATACCCTCTGGTATTGCTTTTTAACCTTCCTGGAATCCATTTTCTAAAAAATAAAGACATTTTCAGATCTGAGAGCTATATTTCAATGTCTGTGGTTATAATTGTGCACAGGAATTAGCTAAACGTAAGTAGCTGAACAGGTAGGGAAACGTAGAGCCTTTTATCTTGACTGTAGACCTCTACACTGAAACTTTTCTTCCGATAGAGCGGCTAAAACAAGTTCTGTACGTGCATAAAGTGGGAGAATCTTCAGAAATTAATATAGAGCTTTAGGAATAGTTTGCCTTTATTTTCTTTTTAGAACCATATTAATCTTTGTCTTTCATTTTTTTTCCTGACATTGGAAAGATTGAGACATGCTAGTAGGACCATTATACCAGCTCGAAACCTTGATTTAGTAAAATCTCAACGTACAGATCCTTTGTCCAGTGGTAGTACTTACCAGGAAACGTATTCAGCTTACTCAGTAGACCAAAAGAGCATTTAAAACTACAAATACTAAGGGAAACTTCCTGTACTTGGATTGTGCTCTAGTTAGAAAAGTTTAATTGCATCATTGGGCTTTTTCATTAGTGAGCCAAATGACTTTAACACCCTGCCCTCTGCACTGGCTTGAATTCAAAACTATGGTGGCATTTCAGGGAGTGAGGTTACGGTAACATTATGGCAGCTAAGTGCATAAGTTGAATGTAAGATGCTGAATACTTGCTTGAACTGAGTCCCACTACAGATTCTTGAACAAATTGCTTGAATTCTTTGTAACTGATTTTTGGGGAATGTTCCAACATAATTTTAAAATTGTTTATGTACCAAGGTAAAGCCTTAATTGTATATGCTTTAGCACAATAAGATTCACTGCCTCTGGGATGCTGTTTAGTTTGTATTTTGTTTAATGTTTTTCTCATAGGAAGAAAAACCAGACTTCTGTACTTAGATCTATTATACATTAAAAAGCTGCTCTTTCAGCATTAGAGCTATAAATGAATGTTATCTTATAGGATAAACAATCTAGTTTTTAGCTATATGAGCCATGTTTATTATGGTGCTAATGTTCAAGAGCTACTTTTGGATTATTTCCTCCATTTTCTGTGATGTGCCTAGTGGCAGAGCTCACCAATTCATGCTTGGGCAGGTCTTGGGGCCTCCAGCTAGTTCTTTTGGGGTTCTGAGTCCACACCTTCTTGATGTGTTTTGGTGGGAGACAGAAAGTACCTTGATTTCTAAGTTCAAAGAGTTTTACAATTGACCTTATGAGTGAAGAATTTTGGAGCTTTGTAAGACCTCTTTAGCAGTAGTGATCTCAAACCCATTATGAGCTCCAAGCTCCCCCTCCCTGGTGTAACTGTTGGGAGCAGTAACATCACTGCAAGCCCCTGGAATAGCTGGAAGGAATATGATCTTGTAAATAGGAAAGCTGTCACTTAAAAAAATTGTATTGTTTACCTACTAGCCATGTATCTCTTGAAATCATTTTGTCATGTTTACAATGATGTACCTTACTGGTAACAAATTAGTTTGATGTTTAACAAATAGTGCCTTTAGTAAATTATTTTACAACCAAAACATGTTGTTTTTTGTTAGATCAACTTAGCTGAATGTAAAGTCTACACTGAGATATAGAACAAGAAATCTAAGTTTCTGTTCATTGGCTAGGTTTTAGTTTTGTTGTAAATTTAAGAGACTTACTTTTTTTTATATCAGTTTTACATTTGTACCAAAATTGAGCATAAAGTACAGAGTTCCCATATACCCCCTTAGCCACACACAGCCTCCCCTCAAAGGTTTTGGTTTTGAGGGATTAAAGTAAAAGGCTAAGTCACTTTCTCTCATATATTTTTACAATGAAGTTAAGTACTGAAACAAGCAACCTATACTATTAGAAACAACATAGCTTCCAGAGTGGTTTTTAAAATAATCTCCCTAAAATTAGGTGCAAAAGTGTACAGCAGCTAACCCAAATATAAAGTAATCCTTGAAATTAAAAGAGGCTAGACTCTAGTATCTTAACCACATAAATTTTTAATGAGGTATAATTACATTAGCAGTTGAGGTAACAACTTGCATAGGTATTTAAATGAATGATTTTAAACTTTAGCCATTTAATACTGAAGCTGTATTTTTGGCATAAATGATTTGTCTGTTCAGAGATAAATTCTCATTGCACTTCAGGATCAGCTGCCCCAATGACTCGTTCTCTGAAATTTAAGTAAAATTTGCTAATAGAGGTCCTTTTCAAGCTTATACTTAATAGATGATCAGTAGCCGAGAACAGCATTCCACAGGATATTATCTTTCACTAAGATTTCAACCTGTAGGGAAACCCCTTTAAAAAAGGAAAAAATGATCTTCCAGTGGTTAACCCTGAGCTAAGATGTTAAATAGCTGATCTATAGAGGTTAGTGAATAGTTACCAGCAGTTGGATTTTGAAGAAATCTAGTAAGATTATTAAGGAAGAGCAGAATATTTCATACTGTATTTTTTAATAAGATGCAAGTTTAGATAATTTTTAATTAAAAAAGTAAGGGCCCAGTGTTTGAGTATCTGAGGCTCCTAATCTTCACATAATAGGAGCAAAACTTATCCAAGCCTTTAGCTATTTAGAAATATAAAATGCTGAACATGTTGCTCAGTTGCCAATTTTTTTTCTCTTCAAGAAGACAATTTTTTTCCTTCAAAAATCTCGATATGATATGGTACAAAGCTTTTAAGAGATCTAATGTTAAACATATAAAATGAACTTATTCAAGTTAAACTGTATTTGTATATCATAATACACTGCTGAATTCAGATTTTTGATAAGACTGTTTATTTAGAATCTGGACAAACCTGTTTGCTGCCAAACAAATCATCATTGTAAGTCCCAGCCATCATTGTTTTCATGTCCACAGTACTGAAGTAATTTAAATATACTATTTATAAAGCTGTCATTTTCATTTTGGACTATGCCAAATAAAGAACAATTATTAAAACTTAATAAATTTTTGGAAAAATGGAAGTTCCGTTCACCAAAGTAATGTCTATTCTGAGCCCTGTAACACACAAAGCCTCAGGAATATAAATTAGTGCGATTGATGATTATTTAGGTGATACCTTGATATTTCACAGTAGTAGTTTAACTCCCTTCAAATGGCAAAGATAACTTCAGCAACAAATGGCCTGAAAGAAATTTTTTTTTTGGTATGACTATTAGTAAAGAAAGTATCTAATTTTCCATCTAATAAGAATTTGTATGGAAAATGCCTATAAAAGATAAATAAATGTATAAAATGATGCCACCTGAATTTCGGTAAAAGATTGCACAAATTCATGATCTGAGCCAATTAAGACATCAAAATAAAAAATGTCTGAAGTAAACACTAAAAGTTTAAAACTCCCAAGTACTTGCTTGCTGTCATTGATACACATATTTATGCTAATCTTGTTCCTGTAAAAGGAGTTTTGTTGTAGATACAAAATGTATAAACAGTGCACTGATTCCTAAGTAAAAAAACAATGAAACTCCAAATTGTAAGCCCTTTTAAAAAGTATATATAAAATCGCAAGAAGAAAGCCCCACTGTCTTTGGATCAGCTAAGGATTTCATTAGAAGAGGTATCAGCTTCTTCATTGGGATGTTGGCTACCAGACAGGAATTCTGGAGGCAAGAGTTTAGAATGTCCATTCTCAGTAACTCGCTGGGTATAAAACAAGATATAAGCTTGGGCCTTGCATACTTCATCCATAGTGCACATGCTTAGCTTGGAATCATTGCAGTGTACCCAGAACCCTAGAGTGAAGCACAGAAATACACCAATGTTTATAAAATAACTTTAGAAGTTTCTAATATAAATTAAAATGGATTTAAAGGCATTATGGTCTCAACAAGAGTTACGTTTCTTTGAAGGGAAAATAATCAGCCAATTCATTTCTATTAATGAGAAATACAGCTTGGCAGTATGTTATTCTGGAATCATCTACCTCTATTCTAGAAGTAGTCTGAAGTTAAAAAATCTTATTAGTTCACTTGACACTATCTTTAATTCTAGGTATAATCCGACCAGTTAATGCTTTTGCTGCTAATCATACTGTAAAGCAAACAGTGTGCAACTCTCTTGGTAGTTTACTGTTAAATTAATTGCATTCGTGGATTATGTGGGCTTTCTCTCCATCTTTTTTTTGGGTGAGGGGGAATGGTATGAATGGGGAGGCTCAGTCCTCGTTCAGTAGTAGTTGAAGGAAGGGGAAATAAGTGAAACCTAAGTCAATTTTGCCACCTATGAAGACTGTCCTTGAGGGTCCATGGAGGCAGTAAGTGAAAGTGAGTTTTAAAACCTGAACTCGGGGTGCCTGGGTGGCTCAGGTGGTGAAGCGTCTGCCTCTGGCTCATGTCATGATGCCAGGGTCCTGGGATCCAGCCCTGTGTCGGGCTCCCTGCTCAATGGGGAGTCTGCTTCTCTCTCTCCCTCTGCCCCTCCCTCCCCATCCTTTCTGCCCCCTCCCTCTGTCTCTCTCTCCCTCAAATAAATAAAATCTTTAAAAAATAAAAAATAAAACCTGAACTCAGAGTTTGTTCTAAATATCTGTGATCCCCAGTTCATTAATGCTCTGTTCTCTAACAAAATTAACAAGATGGAACCAGTAGACAGAGGACTTGTCCTTACAAATACACTTAAAAGATAGCAAAAAGACTTTTAATTAATGTGACCATCCTTATTATCCTATTGCTACAGCCTCTGAAAGTCAAAACAACTATAATCCTGCAGAAAATATTCCATTTTCTGCACAAATCCTTGATTTCTTTTTGTTTTTTAAGAAATGCAGAAGTATTTTTGAAAAAAAAGGGTCAGGGGTGCCTGGGTGGCTCAGTGGGTTAAAGCCTCTGCCTTCGGCTCAAGACATGATCCCAGGGTCCTGGGATTGAGCCATGTATCGGGCTGTCTGCCCAGCAGGGAGCCTGCTTCTCTTCCTCTCTCTCTGCCTGCCTCTCTGCCTACTTGTGATCTCTGTCTGTTAAATAAATCAATAAAACAAAACAAAACAAAAAAAAGTATTGTTAAAAAAAAAAGGTCAAGTGGCTTCACTTAAGGTGATTAGTGG